ATATTATATATATATAATATTTAATATTTAGGAAAGTGACGAGCAATAATGGCAACCACTTGTTTATATTCTGTTTCCAACTACTCCCACCTCGTTGTTTTATTGCATAAATTTTTAGCTTGGCAGAGGGTGACCTCACCAAATTTAAGGAACTAATGATTATTACAGTGTACTGCCTTCTGCAATATTAATATCAACCCCTCATAGTAACTTTATTATTATTTATTTTTTAAAATTACGAAATAAACCATCTTGTTTAAGTAATTACAGCTACCCCACTCGACAATATATTTTCTTACAAAAAAACCCATTTTATACAGTAAATAAATTTAATACCGTAAGAATTGACGTATTGTTGAGGATGGTGATTGTAATTATCCAAACATGAGATATTTTTTCGTAATTTCACAGTACCTTTATGGTGACCGTAATTGGCCAAGAATATAAGAATAAATGAGGTAATTAAACAATATTATAGAATAAATCAAGTGAGGCAAAATGTGGTCGGAAAATTAAAGAAACCAAGATTGAGGATAATACATGGTCTACAAACTTTAATTAAACTAATTAAATTAACCAACCTCCTTCAAAACACAACATTAATTAGCCCTAATTAAGAAAAGTGCACAATGCATACAATTAATTAATTAATTAAACAAGGGTTTTTGTTTACTTTAATCCTTAACCGGTGCAGAGTCAATACCCGAACCTATTACCCTTTGCACAATACCAGGATTACACAAGGTGCGTTCTTGACTTCTTCCCTTCTCTTAATTCTTACAGTAAACAAATCCCTATGCATCAATTTTAATTTAAATAAATCAGTATATAATAATAATATAATTATTAATAAACGAATTAATTAATTAATTACCTGGAAAATGATTAATTTATTATTTGGTCAGGCCACGTCACAGAGGACAGCGCCTTTGATTCTCTCGACAGTGCATTTGATGAGGCTATTAACAGTTGCAACAGAACCCAAAGAAAGCTTAGCCGTTGGAACGGAATCAACCAGTATCTGAAATGCAACGGTGAGCAGCGATCCACCAGATCCCACCTCCGGATTAATCCCCACCGTCGGATCAGTGGGCCCATCTGGTAGTATTGCAAAACCCGACGGCAACAGTGCCACGTAATCCGGGTCGCCCCCGCTGAGGACAACATTCATTGCCACTATATCCACCGGCGCGTAGATCACATACGACCCCGTCGAATCGGTGCTGCTCTCCTGCAGAATCAGCATATTGCTCTGGCTCGAATTTGCGCTCTGCATTTGTTTTAATCACTAGTTAATTAACATTTAAGCCAATTAATTAAAACGTTAGCTAATAATAATAACGAAGAACTCACGTTGACCCGCAGTAAAGAAACGGAGTTCCCAGGATCACGGCCGTTTGCAATGTGGGCCATTTCTTGAACTAGGCCCCCGTTTGACAGAATATCCCACTTTTCCATAATACCAAACCAAAATATAAATCAGTATATGATTTAATTAAAATAAACTAATAATAATATATGCATAGAGTTAAAAGTAAACCTCTATAGATTAATACAATCGAAACTAGCAAAATTTTATTAATGTACCGAAATGTTAAATTATCGAACTAATAATTTTACAGGTTTTTACCCTACCGAGTCAGGGCCAAAAGAAACTACTATTTAAGTGATATTATTAGTTTATCGAATATTAATTTGAGGTTCTACTATGTGTTTATATGCAATAGAACCTCGATAAAATAATAACATTGTTTAAATAATAATTTATTACGGTCCTGACTCGGTAAAAGCGTACTAAATTATTAACTAGATAATTTAATGTTTCGCTAAATTAATAGAATTTTACCAGTCCCAACAACATTAATTTATAGAGATTTAGTTGTATATATATATATACATACCTCGCTTCTAGAATTCTCATCACGGAGGAAATCAAAGACTCGTTTGGGGGGAACGGGTAGCCAGAAAGAAGTAGCAGCACTAAGGACAATGCCAGGTGGCCGACCCGGGTCATCCATGCTTTTCCGGGTCATGACCCGAACATCGTCCGCGCCACTTCCGGATAGGGTCGTCCACGTATGGGCAGTCGAAGCACCGACACCAGTGCAGAAGCTCATCACCATTCTTTCAGCAAGTTTCAGCATACTCTTTCTACCTTCTGGTGATGATATCACTGCACCATAATAATACCATCCATGCACAATTATTTTCATTTTTTTTTTTCCAAAAATAAAAAATAAAAAATGCGAGATAATTAATAAATACCGCCAACGTCTCCCGCCGAAATGTTATTAGCCATTAAACTCGCTAAGCGTTCGCATTGCCTGTCCAAAGTTGCCACCCAACGCTTTGCTCCGAAAGCGAGCCCCGAGTTCACTAGCGGTTTGTATATGCTGTGCACCGCTCTGTCGTCTATCTCAACATGTTCGATCCACGTTACCTATATATGTACATATATTGTAACAAATTATATAATCACATGTTACATATATATATATATTCGAAGACACATTCAGAATTTTTTTTGAGATATTAATTTAAAAATTAATTATAATTACCTTGGAGTAGCCATTAGGCAATTCTTGAATCAAACAACCGGAAGGGCGTCTCCTACATCTCGATATCGAAGAAGGTCTTAGGTTGTCCAAAGAAACATCGACAACCGCCCATGTTCCGTCGCTGTGCTGCTTGCAATATCTTATGTAGTAGTTTTCTCGTGTCGGGACCAAAGGAGACGGGACTTGGAACTCCGCAGTCATCTGATAATTAATTAACCACACCATTTAATTAATACGCGGATTTTCGATTTGTTTTTATGTATATTATTCAACAAAATTAATTATAAGTTATTAATGTACGGACGAACGTACCACTTGTAGAGCGCCATTATAGTTGCCAGCCACACCGGTAGACAACACCTCCAAAGTCACCGCTCTCGAAACAATGCTAGCAAACACATTTGTCCATTGATTCTGCAAAATGAAAAATTATGCGAAAATCACGACAAAATATATGTTATATATATTTATATATATATATATATATATATATATATATATATATATATATATATATATATATATATATGTACAATGAAAAAATCATACCACATCCATGAGAATCTCGACAAGGTTGACATGATTCATAATAACAACAGCCGACTCGCGCGAGGCTTCCGATTTCAAGCCCAAAGGCTTAGGTCCGATCCCACGAGGGAATATCCGAGAATATTCCTCTTCACACAAGAGCTCACCGCAGTTAATGTCGGAGCTAGGAATCCACAACGGCTCTCCACTTTGAGCCATTCTTATCAACTCCTCCATAGCTGCAACTGCAAGCTCGATAATCATAGGCTTGTCAGCATCTGTGGGGCCCGTTACCGACCTAAGAAGATCGGCAGCTCCAAAAACCTCACTAGAAAGGCCCGTTTGAGGCCCGTAGTTCCCAACTCCAAGATCAAGCGAACGTGTGGGAAGATTAGGGTATGTCATCATTGGCTTGCCCACGTATTTCGCAGCTATTCCAGATATCCTATCAATCTGGAAAAATAAAAAGACAATATAAACAATATCGTAATTAATTATATGCACATTTTAAATAATTCAATTATTCAAAGTTTTTTTTCTTCGTTTAATTACCTCTTCTCGTAAACGAACGTTTTCAATCCTGAGATGCTGCTCGTCGAACGACATTTCACCAATGGCAGCTGGCCCCCCACAGTTTGGACATGCGGCGTTGCTTAGGGCTTCTTTGTACCGTATATTTTCGGCACGGAGCTTGTCGTTCTCGTTCCTCAGCTGAGTATTCTCATGGCGTTCATGTTGGGCCTGCAAGTAAACCATAAAAATAAAATGCACTTAATCATTATTACACTACAAAATACAAAAGAAGAAAAGGATGAAACTGAAGTTAGATAACCAAAGAAAACGAGCATATACCTTCATTTGCGTACGTTTGTTTTGAAACCAAAATTTCACCTGCAAAGGCTCCAATGCTAACCGACGACCTAGCTCCTTCCTTTGTTTGTCATCGGGGTGAGGGCATTCGTTGAAAAACCTGTCGAAAAAAGTATTAACGAAAAGAATTAAATAAGACATGATTAACGAACTAATTAATATTTCTTGCTAAATAATTAATTACATACGATTCCATTTCTTGAATCTGATGCTGAGTATGGCGATGGTAGCGTTTCTTCTTGTTAGGGCGTTGGTTAGGGTCTTGTTCATCGCCAGAGGGTGCCTCCATAATATCGGTTCCCGATTTGCTTTCGTAGTCATCGTCTCGAATAAGGTCCATTTCGTTTTCCGGGGTTTTATTATGCCCCATGTCGAGCAAGTGGTGGTGGCTATCGAACATGTTTGGCTGAAACATCTTCACCTATTCGTATATACGTTGTCGTTGAAGCTGCTCGAAAAACGCTAGTCTTCTTCTTCAATCTGTCAAAACAAATTAAAGTGAGCTCAGACATGATTATTAGTTTGAACATAAACAAAGTAATTCAAAAATGGAAAAACTTCGATGATCGGAAAACGATAGTCGAAAACAAACTTAACAGGCCAAGATCTCTCTTTTTGCTACGCTGATCTCCATTGTAAGAGTAATTTACTGGAATTTAATTTCTATTACCTTTAATTTATATAAATTAAATCAACCAGATCTCAAATGTGTACACAATTAAAACCAGAGAGAAAATTATATTGGCCGACTCTTGAAATAATAAATGATAAAGGGAAGCTAAAGGGTTTCTTTTTAATTAAAAGCCGCACATCTTCCAACAGAAAGAATTGATGTACAGAAAATTCACAAATCCATTGAATCAAAACCCTGAATTCTTATCCATTTAATAAATAATAATAATCTCTAAAGGAAAAAGCAATAATTAACTCACCGACTTTTTTGCTGGGACAAAGAATGGAGTTCGTCGGAGTTCTTGCCGGAAACTTCACTCCATCGGACCTCATCAACAATCCTTTTGAAAGCTGCGGATCTTCACCTCCAGGAAACCCTAGAAAAACTTTTGTTTGAAAAGTTAGTGCGTTGAGTTTAATAAGATTCTCTGGCAGAGCGTTTGAGAGAAAAAAAGTACAAATGGGATTGTTACATGTAATAACAACAGACTAACAATGGACTTTTGTTCCTCGTTTTCTTGTTTTTTTTATTCTTTTTTTTATTTTATGTTAATTAATTAGGAGATGGACTTTTTTGATTTTCGAAACAAGACTTTCTATGTTCGCTGTAGTGACGTGCCAAAAGACTAAAACGAGAAAAAAACCAGCAAAGAGTTGACTCTGTGTGAACTCACCGTTTGACACACTACTACTATATTATAGCTACCTCTATCTTTTTTTTTCAAACCCTTGTTACACACATACATACATACATACATATTCGGTGGATGCAGATTCTCTCTCTCTCTCTCTACATGCCAAAAATAAAATAAAACGGAAGAAAACATTAAAATTAGAATACAAGTTACAAAATTTAAAACTTATTAGAAGGAGAGAATCACGCTTTAATTCCGGTTTATTTTTATATATATAAATAGCAGAAAAATGGAAGTTGAAAAGAATGAGTATATATTATACAGAAGCGAGCTAAATGGTAAAGGTGTAAATAAACTTACTGTTGTTGAAACCCTTATCAGGAATTAGGGTTAGGGGAAAGAGACGAGGTTCAGATCTAGTTTTTCCAGGTAAAAAGTGATGCAAGAACTGCAGTTTTTTGGATACTAAAGAAATGGGGACGGTGCCTTTCTTGTGAATAGAATTTATGAAGAATTGTTGGCATATATATATGTGGTTTGATAGAGAAAGAAAGAGAAAAAGAAAAAAGAGAGAGAGAGAGAGAGAGAGAGAGAGAGAGAGAGAGAGAGAGAAAAGTTTTGAAGAAGGTGAAGAAAAAGAAAAGGGGAGAAGAGCTAGAGAGAAGAATATGGCAGGGATGGAGTTATTGCAGAGCGTATAGAGATGGTGCGATAGCATTTATGGCGGGGGTTTGTGGGGGTGGGGGTGGTTTTTATTACAGCGGAGAGAGAGAAGGGTTTTGGGTTGGTATATCATGTTTAAATTTTCTGTATGTCTATATGGGGGGGTGGGGGTGGTCGGGGGTGGGGTGGATTGGTCTCTTTACTTACTTACCCCTTCACTCACTCTCCATACAACTCACTTCCCACTGGATCCAATTTTCTCAAAAAAAAAAAAACCTTTTTTTCTTCTTTTGTTTCACTAATTTATTATCAAAATGTATTTTTTATGTAACAGAGAAGTATTTATTATTAAATTAAAAATGGCAGTAGACCTAGACCTTAATTAATCCCATCAATTGTTTAAGAAAAGAAAATAAATTACTATCGGACATGGGCTTATGAAATTCTACACCCGATTAAAGTATAAATCAGCTATTTAAATTTACATAACCCTCAACGTGCGTGTTAATTAGGTGATCATATCTCGAATTTGTATATTTTAAAAATTACAATTAAACTGGAGAGAATATTTATTTAAAATTATACGTATATTCGTCACGGAAATATACATTTATACATACACTTTCAGGTGTATGTATATATAATTGCTTCTTTCTCTCACAAACACACTCAGAAATGAGATTTTCAGATGATGATGATGACGATGATATGATGTATAGGCATATGCATTTACACTCCAAATATATTGCCAATAAATTCAAGGCATCATCAAGCTGTAATTAAATCATGATTTCTGATTTCTCCAAGTAAAATCATTTCACCTACTTCTTATAAATAATATATTCACTTAATTAATTCACTACTGCATTTAATAAATATCCAGAAATGCTGATGACCTTATTCTTCTCTCCAATATTATCCGCACAGTACCTCTTAATTGCCACAAATTTCATAATCTTATTTATTTACACCTCACAATCTTCCTAATTTATTCATACATTATATATATATATATATATATATATATATATATATATATATATATATATATATATATATATATATATATGAGAGGTGACACATGCAAAATATTTAACTAAATTAATTAGCCATTTGTTTGTATTATTTTTTTTATCTAGTCAAAGTGATGAATTTGACAACTTTGTTCCGTAACAATAACTCGTAAACAGCACAAGAGATGTAAACTACGTCTTATTAACTACGCGTGACAAACTCAATCTTAAAAGTATTGGCAGAAAATTCGAACTATGGTCAAATGACAGTGTGTGTTTCGCTCACCGCCCATTCATTTGTAGTTGCTTCTTTCAATAAGAAGTTGGCGATTCTTGACCTAATTTATTCAATGTGAATGCTCTATATGCCAGAAATCTAACCCAACGAAGTACGATGATTTTTCACTTGTCCCTCAATGTGGAGGATGCCCTAATACATGTACTTATACTTGATTATATATAACATCATTAATTAATTAGGATAATAGGAAATAAAATTAATTTATTACATTGTAACCTGATGAGACTTTGATTAATCAATTCATCTCGGCTTCACTAAATATTATGTTATATATATAGTACAATATCCTTTCAATTAATTATTTTTCAGCAAAATTGTCTTAATAAATTTTATTTTTAATAGAGATAATTAAAGATGGAATAAATATTATTAAAATAATTAACTATCCCTTTCTCAATTAAACCTCAGAGGGTAGAGAAAGGCATCATTGAACATTGTACTACTTATATTAAATTAGTCTAGACTAGTAATAAATTAGGACATTTAATTTAAAGAATTTGTGATAAATGACCAATAAAGATGATGAGTGTCTCACTAGGTGAAGCCGATGCACGTCATCATAATAATTAACGTAGGACCAATATTAATATTTATATTGCTTCTATTTCCAGTTGCACGACATAATATAATACTACATCACAATAAAGAAAATGATTATTATTAGCTATCAATTGGGTTAATATAATTATTATTAGCGTTACGAAATTATATTGATGGTGATGAGACGATGACCATTGCATATTCTGTTATTGCGTTGGAAAATAAATTTATTAGTTTCTTAAAAAATATAAAAATACAAGTAATTAATGCGAGCATGTCAAACAAGTGCCTAATATTAATTTCGGTAATTGAATAAAAATAAATAGAATTTTAATATATAAAATAATAAAAAAATAGAAGGCATTAATTCCACCATACTTGACATCCCAACTGCACAACAATGCTTTGGATTTTTCAATCTTTATTATCGTCCAGTTGATAGCTACGCTGAAATTGGTCACTAGCTTAATAATAGTTTTTTCTATTTATTTTTCATTTTTCTAAAATAAAGGTAAATTACGGTCACCCCTGAAGTGATATTAAATTACATAAGAATCAACTACCCATTAACGACTATGAATTTTCTTACACGTTCACCTTCGCGGCGTCGAATTTAGTGGAATCTTCTAGATTATGTAGAATAATCTCTAGTTTGTACCCGTTTTACCTCATTCAAGCTCCATATTTTGAACGAGGTGATCATAAAATGTGTCTTTCGGCTTGTAAATATCATATTGTGGTGGATTAGAAATTAAACTGCATTTTTGCAAAACGAGTACAAACTAGAGAACATTTAGCAGAATCTAGAAGATTATATTGAATTCGACACCATAAGGGTGGATGTGTAAGTAATTCGTAGTTGATAGATGAGATGGTTGTAATTACCCAAACATGAGGGGGGTTTTCGTAATTTGACCTTACCTCAGGGACAACCGTAGTTTACCCTAAAATAAACAACAATATCGATACTATAATTTAAAGACCTTACCTCAGGGGTACCCGTAGTTTACCCTAAAAGAAACAACAACGTCGATACTATAATTTAAATTTTTGGGAAAAAAAATTATAATTATTTTCATAATTGCATTTGCAACCCCTTTCCACATCTAAAATCCATTTTCGAATGGGAATATATTAACTTGAGAGGAAAAGCAGCCCAAAGTTACCTGAGCAAATTATTATTCCAACCATATACAGCCCAAAAATCAGGCCCATATAAATAGAGTATCCAAAATGAAACTACCCACAATCGAAAATAAAATAAATTAAAATTAATTAATATTTGAGTTCCGACGCGCAAACAAAAGACGACGTCTGGGATTGAAGATAAACAGAGATGTAGCACGTGCTGTGCACGGTCGCCTTTATCTTCAAAAGTCTCAGCACCTTCGCCTCGCCGTGGAATGTGGTCAACGACGTGAAATTCAGGCATCCGGCGAGGATATCCGCCGGAAAACCAGGATTGGAGATCAAATTGTTCACAACCACCAGCACCGTGGTGCTGACGTCAAGCTCCCCTCGAGCCGGTATTGTGTCCTCCTCAATTGGGGCTTCAGCCGCCGGAGTATCACGGTAAGTCACATACGCCGTCGTATTGTCGTACTGAAAGCTGCCGTAGTTAGGGTTGTTGACATTCACCACAAGCCCTAGGGTGAAATTGAGGCTGAATGGATTGAATATGATGTTGAAATTTTCTAAATTGACTTGTTCAGTAGTGATTTTGGGTTGTTTGGGTTTGAGTATTGTGAGTGCTAGGGTTAGTATTACTGCAAATACAGTCACTACCACAATTAGTGTCACTATACAACATATTTTCACTGATCTTCTCATAATTTTTTTTTTTTTTTGATGTAGAAATTATTTAATGAATCTTAATTGCAATTAGATGAAGTTTATGAAGGATGTTTACGAGGTGATCTCGTTTGCGATTCCGTAAAAAAACAAACTATTTTTAGTGTACATTTCAATGCAGGAAAAAAAAAAATGTGTCCGAAACCTTGTTTCTATCGAATAGTCGAATGGTTTTTCCGAAGAATCCGAATTTGAATAACACTGCAAAGAATAAAACCAGGATTAAATAAAATGATGCTGAAACAAACAGTTGATACAAAGTCTCTCCTATTATATTATGTCCAAACCCAATAAGTAGTTCTGCATCAGCACAACGAACTTTTTCAACTCTTTACAAAGCCCTCTCCTCGTCGTAATTCCGATTACGGAGAAACCGAAAAAAACACGATAAAGAAGAGACAGAAAATTCATTTCGTCCACATAACTGTTTGTCTTGCGTATTAGCTAGATTAATTGTACCTTTTTTTTTCGCCTTAGATTTTGCATGCAGCCCCTCGAGAATTTCACTTAAATGCAATTAACCCCCCAAACTAAACTAATATACGGAAGTTTTCCACCACATGTTCTAAACTCTTTGTTTGATCCCATATTCGATTCTTTTGTTTATGCAACTTCAATGTTTGATGGTTTAGCATTGCCTTCGACGAATTTGGCCTTTGACTTTAATGCTCTCGAAGACTTTGATGAGGACCCGGAATTTGACTTTGGCGAGGAAGCTGACTTCATCTTCTTCCGTTTTTGCTTCTTCTTCATTGGAGGAAGTTCGTTAAACATCTCCGAACCTGATTGCTGCCTCATCGATTCCCCAAAATCTGTTTCAATAACCTAATATTAGGTAGATTTAAAACTTTTTATTTCCCTTTTTATTTATTTATTTATTATTTATTGGTACTTCAGGTGTGTTCTAGGGTTAAAAAGAGAGTTGATGTTAGTGCCAAGAAATCCACCATTTCACAGCATGTGAGCAAAACAATAAAACACCAGTCATTTTCAAAAGGCCCATTTTCACACACACACACAACAATGTGCAAAAAAAACATCTCGTGACAGATGAGCCAAAAAAATTCCTGTTCTTTTTTAAGGCAAAGAATCTTATGATCTTTCCCCTCACAAAACTATGTCTGAATTAAAACACCACATACGACATATAACATTTTTTTTAAGTCAGAAATGCAGCCCTCGTGACAAAGGTTTTTGTATTTTCTCTAATTCGATCTGCACATGATGTAAAAAAATCTATGGATCAACTGTCCCCTCTCTCTCTCTCTCTCTCTCTCTCTCTCTCTCTCTCTCTACAGTTCTTGACCGTACAAATACTCAAAAAGTTATCCAATTGCTTATTTAACTGTTCTTCAACATTCTTGTCTCAGGTAATAGAGTAATACTAACTTGTCGGTGTAAACTTAAGTGACGGATAATATCGAACAATCTTTTTTTCTTTCAAAGCAACGGTTAATTAACAATGGAGTAAAATTTTGCATTAAATATGGTATTATTATTTTTATTAAAAAAAAAGATCAAGAGAGGAAAAACAAACCTTGAGAAGACCATGGAGAAAGTGCAGAACCAGAATTACCAATAGAGGTAGCCGCAAAATCAGGGCCGGTCTTGAATTCATTCATCTGATAATAAAATTGTCTGAAAATTTGAATAAAAATAAAAAAAAAATTAAAGAAATAGAAAAAAGGAAGAGAAAAATGAGACATACCCAAGTGGGGGCACTCCCAGAGGGGCCATCCCACCCAATATGTGCCACATGCTTAACATCTGTCGGAAATCCAATCTCCATTTCACGCTCCTTCACAACTACAACAAAAAAAAATTAAAATTAAAATTAAAATTAAATAAATCATTGAATTTTCTGCTCAAACCCTAGAAAAATAAACAAAATTGAATAAAGATCTACCAAAGAATTGAGAAAGCGTGTATTTGAACCCTTTGTAGATCCCTTTCATTGCAGTTCCCATTGTGGGATATGAAGCCCAATGCAGAAGAAAAACTGTCGGAAAAAATTAAACTTTGCCTGCATAAAAATTGTCAAATCATTTCTGATGTAAGAATTCTGAATCCGAGAAAGGCAAAAAGAAAGGATTTTTCAGCACCAAAACAGGTAAAGATTGGATTTTTTTTTTGGGGGCACATTTGCAAAATAAAGAATTGATATGGGGTACAAGAAAAGCATATATAAAGGCAAGCAAAAGAACACATTTTTTTACTATAATTTTTACCTTTTCAGAGAAGAGTATTGAAGAGGAAGGGGGAAAGTAGATTCAAAAGAGAAGCTAATTGTTCTTCTTCTCTCCTCCTCTTTACCATTCCTATATATCTTCACATATAGATGTTGGTAAACATTTCCTACAATAAGCATGCGAACAAAATTGAAATTAGGTGAAAAAAGGGCTCTTCTGAGAATTAACAAAGAATCAAGAATTCAAAACACAACACACAAAAGGGAGTTGGAGTTGTGAAGAACAGGTGAAAAAAGATTGCTTTTTTAAGGTTTCAAGATTAAAGGGTGGGTTGGGGTGACATTGTTAGAGAGAGACGATAAGGTTGGATTTTGGGAATGGTTTTGAGGAGAGAGAAACAAGAATTAGATTGACAATGGATGAAGAGAAAAGAGCAAGAGAGAGAGAGAGAGAGAGAGAGAAGAAAGAGAACTGGAGAACCACGAAAATCTCCCCTAAAAAAGGGGGCGAGGGGGGTGGATTTGAAGGACATGGACAGAGAAAAACCTCACATAAGTTCAACGATACAGTCATTGTAAAATTATTACCAGTAATAAATAATTAATAATTAAATGCAAAAAGATAATGACCAAAGTCAATTGTTTTCATAAGGTAATTAAGGAGTGGGGGATTAAATATTTATTTTGCAGGGCAATAAATGGGATTAAAAGTAGTGTTGGTGGAAGAAAATGGGACCGAAGCCATCTTTTATTTCTATGTTTTAAGAATCTAATGACACTAATTATGTGGTCATACACCTCTTAATAACCCCAGGTGGACTACCTTAAACATATTACTTAGATTTCTAATCCATTATTAATTTTACAACTAGCATTTTTTTTAGGCTTACAACCGTACAAATACAACTAGTATTTTTTTGGAAATGATTATATAAATGAAATTTTAATTTTTTTTTTTTATTATTATTTTCAACTTATCATTTGAAACAATCAAGGGACTCAGACAGGAGGCCATTCGACTTCCCTCGACCCGGTACGACTAGATATGCATTCGGTGGAGCTCAGATCGGAGCCCCCTTGGCACCAAACACGCGATAAGGTGCAGGATATGATTGCAGTTGCAGGCATTCGAAAATTCCATTTCAATTTCCGTCCTACTTATATGTAATGTGTTTGCAAAGAAATAACGAAGATGGAGTGATTTTCGCAAATAAGGTTCAAATCATCTCTCTATCATAATTTGATTTTTCAAAGGAAAGAAATAAATAATTCCACACAACAATATAGTACCCGGATCCCAACTGTCATAAACTAGAAAACGACGTCGTTCTCTCGACTCTCAACGCTCCGTTTTTTCAAAAAATA